GAATGGAAAACGAAGGTATCTTGATTCAGGTGTAGGTTTTTTTGCATATTAGGCGGCATCTTCACCCAATGTGAACAGATTTTAATAATCTTGTACATTTGTGAAATGGGTATAATAAAAAGTTAGTCGAACAACAAACATGATGAAACCACTAAAGATGGAATTATCATTTAAAAAGCGAATTAATGTCTGTATATCCTTTATTAAATATTTATCCTAAATTTAGTTTTGTTTTATTCCGACAATTATTATGGTTTAGACTCTAAACCTTAACAGTTGTCGAAAAAAACTTCATAAGAAAAGACAGCACAACCAATCACGGGCGTCAATATAATTTAGTGTTTTAAGCAACCTATTTAGACGCCGCCATAAATATTATGAAGAAAATATGAACATATGACGCGAAAGTTTCTTATGAAACTAGGTAACATGGCACAGAGAGAACAATCTTGCTTTAATTGCTGCCTTGAAATATAGCGAAATAAATATTAACTAAGACCAACTCTCTTGGCAGTGATCAACGTTTTACTTTCTAGAATACTAGAGAGTAGAGCAGGTCTACCTTATAGTAAAGTAATATACGTATCTTATACTATATAATAATATAACTTGTTGAATTTGTTACTAGTTTTCTCTGCCTACGCGTCATGAAAATGAAAGATCAAAAAGCTATCTAATTTTAACAAATATACCTATAGTATGTATAATGTATATTGTATAATAAAACAATTTTATCAAAATCGGTCCATCCGTTTAGGAGTTTAGTGACATACACATTACACACGTACAGAACGCTTTGCTGCGGATCATCCCGGGAAACAAAAGCTAGGAGTATATCTCCATGCAGAAAACAATAATATTGAGTTTATTATAGCATATTTTCCCGTGGGAATGCGATAATTTTCCGCGGTACGACTTACCGTAGCATTCGTCTCAAGCCTCTCAACTATAAAGCTAAATTAGCAATAAATGTACGAGTATGAACATCATTTCATCGCTTAGTTTCAAGTGTGTGCGTATAAATAAATAATATTATAATAAAAAAATATTTATCGTATCTACTGTAATTAAATTAGCTATTATAGATTCGGAAATAGTATTAGATTATTCTTCTAAAACTTTATTATAATCAATCACCAAATTAGTAGTTGCAAGTAAATTTGCAGTAGATAATTATGACACATGTTATAAAAAAATATATATGTATATGTCAAAATTGAATACAATATTAAAATATTACTTAAGAGTAAATGCAAATGAACCAAGTATTTTGAAATAAAGTAGATGCGAGAAAATAGAAATATAAAAAAAAATTGTTTCCTTTTCACCTATGTTACAAAATAGAGTAAAAAATAGTCAAATTGAGCCGTTAAACCTCTTATCTTTTTCATGAGACGTTGAATAGCTTTTCAATGTGGTAAAGTTATCAGGCTTATGATACATATTATGTAAGCTTGTTGGTTCTTTCACACTTTTTGTTTAATTATAACGCACACATACTGACTAAAGTTATGACCACTGAGTGGATGTTTTTATTTCTTATCTTGTTACTCTTGTATTTGATCTCGATGCATGCTATTAATACATTGCGTTCTGAAAATCGGAATTCTATAGGAAACCCTAACGTACATAAGTAACCTAAGTTTACCTTATTCCAATAAAAAAAAATAACTGGCATTTCTTTTAAACCAAGACTGATTACCATTATAATTTGTGAGACACCGATTAAACTACAAGCTTCATATATTTCTAAAATAATATCACCTTCATCAAGTGTACGTAACGCTATATGAGGGTGGATTTCTTCATGAAATTTATATAGGTTGTCCCTTGAGGAACCTTTTACAAGAATGAAAACATGCCAAATTTTACGCCAATAATGACAATATGTTACGGTTAAAAAACATTTACGATCTACATATTCTGAAAATAGTGAATGTACGAGTATTTAAATTGAAAAATATTTTAATCTTTTTATATTTTTTTAACAAATGTAGACAATTAGAAGGTATTAAAGACCTTAGATTACAATAGTTTGAGCTCTCCACTTATTCAAACTTTTTTATATTTATTACCATGTTTAATTAATTTAATGTAACATACAAACTTTAACTGGCTCCCTTAACAGTTTAAAACAATTCGACCCGACGGTACAGCCTTTACAAGGCAAGTAAAACAAATAGCGAAGATGAAGCAATGAGGTCTTAATCCAATCCTTTGCATGAAGAATCTCTGTAAAGATTTACAGAGATTCTTCATGCAAAGCAAAAATATATCTATATTTTTGCTTTCTAATTAATCAATTTATTATTACTTTACGTCTTAATATTATATTACGTATATGGTTGCGAGACCTACAAAGGCCATCTCCAGCTCAACCACTGTCTCCCCCAAACTATCGGTGTATATTGGCTCGATAAAACCTCAACGAAAATATGTGGGAGCGCGGCAATAAGACACCGATCTACCAGCAGATCAAACGCCGGAAATGAAACTCGATTTTCCACATGCTCCGTTGAGAGCCTAATCATATCGAAGACTAGAATTATCAAGCGGAAGCGTGGCCGTCTAAAGCAAACCTTGTAACACTCGATCCTTACAGAAGCTAAGGCACTACGTAAGACTTGGAAAGAAATAAAATGCGAAGCTTATAATAGACTGGGATGGCGACGTACATACCTTAGATGCCCTCAGCCCCATCTAGGAGAAATAAGATCTTAATGATGAAATGAATTGACATAAACACGCTATCTAATTAGTTTTGGACTGTGGCTATGCTGACGTGACAATTGCCCATATTATGGATATAATATTAATCACTATTAGTGGAAGTTTTAAAATTGGCTCAGGTGATAATATAGTGAATACAAATTGCAGAATGTCTAAGATCCTGTGATTTAATACTGCGCGTATAATTTAAAACTTAAACCGTCGGCAATCAACAAAACAATTGTTAACTTTTCAAAGGCTATCAACAAAACGAAAACTCGAGCGGAATACTGCAAGAAAATAAAGCGATTGTAAAATAGTTGGAAAAGTAATATTAGTAATGTATCTGTAGACAAAGTTTAATACTTGTTGCTTTTATTTATTGACTATTAGCGACTCACCCTCGTTTCGCTCGGGTTCATCCTTAGGTACGATTTAAATTAAAATGGATATAGTACGTTATCCTTAAGAGATATACATATGCCATCGCGAACTTTTCTGTAGACCTATAAGATACACAATTCCACCATACATTATTTTGTTACATCTCAAAGGGTTTACGCAGCATTTTCGTTGAAAGCTCCAAAACCGCTTATTTTAACATTGAAAATGTTTTTTGTCGCTTCAGTATAGGCCCGATTTTCAGCGAAAGCGCGACGTCGCTCTGGTGTCGTGGATTTTGGGACTACGTGATTGATTAGGATGTTAAAAGATGCGTCTAAATGAGGGCTACAAAATTGAAAAAGAAAAATTGATAACACTTAAGATTTTTTTAAATCAAAAAAATGTGAAATATGCGGTCGCTTTTCGCTCGGTTTCGGTCAGAAAAAAACATATCTCGAAATGAAATAAGATATCGAAAAAATAAAAAAACTCCTAGAGATATGACTTCGGACTACATTTAAAAAAATATTGGAGGTTCATATCACTGATGGGTTATTCAGTAGTTGTACCTTTGTGACGCTGAGTTTACGCGAGGAGAGTGCGTGAGCGCGATAATGACGGTGAATAAATGTTTTGGAGCATGATTTTGTTTATGAACCGAAGTGATTTTTTGTGAATAAATAAATACGTATTTAAACTAATAACTAACTAATATTTATACATATAAAATTATATTTATTTGTTTTAATTTAATTGCGATATTAGCCAAAGAAGTCCTACTTCAACCGCGCGCAAAGGCTACACGCACCCCTTTTTTTCAAGTTATATTTTAATACATAATGCTTAATCATAATCTTAATTTTTTTATTAAAATATGTTATTTTCACTCACTATTCACCTCGTCGCCACTTGTAGTGTTTGCATAAAATACAATTAAACACTGTTTGGCTCGTTTGGTCACCAGTATGCATGATTGACACGTACGCTCGCACCGCCTCGGCTCTCACGTAACTGTTAAGTGTCAATCCCCTACCCGTGCACCCGAGACAACTCATTACAGATTAAATACACAAACACTACAACTAGGTTTTTTATATCATTCAAAAATACTCTCTGATCATTATTTTTTATATAAAATATCTATTTAAAAATGTAAATTTATTGATCAAGTATCAATTACATTTTGTATTAAGAAGCAATAAATACCATGAATTTAATCATGGTTCATGGATCATGACTATGATGTAGTTCACTGCATAATATGCTTAAAGAGAATTTTGTTTAAAACATTTAAAATATTGTATCCAAAATATAAAAGTAAAAGTGAAAAAATGCAGCATACTCTGCACAATATAAATGGCATCAAATAAACTAAATGAAAAATAACGTATCTCGATGTTCACAAAATTTGCAGTTTTTTTTAATCCTGCAATATTTTGACTATAGCACAAATCATATAATACTATATTAGTACTATAGGGAAGCGTGGGAAATTAACAGACCAATTTTTCACATTCAGAAAGAAAAGAGATTACACGTATATATTGCTCTACGTGACACCATCACGTTTATTTTGGCGCTCGTGCCTGCGAGATTTCAACTTGACTGATGGTATAATGTAGATACCGGCTATATCACATAGAAACACGGACAATTTATGAGTTTTGGAATTTTAGATATTTTTGTATAGGTTTTATAATTTAGATGAATCAATCATCAATACTGCCCTTCATTGAATATATTTGAAAAGAAACTCTTATTTAAAAAAAGCAATTGTATTGTATTTAACTTTTATTAAAATAAACTAAGGAGATCTTACTACCACAAATTCAAACATTAACAAATAGATGGGTTGCTTTCAGTATCTGTAAAGATTATTTTCATGTTGTCATTTTCATAAAGCAAAAATGAGTAAAGTGACGCCAAACAAAATTGTTACTGACTTTAATAAATTTTCAAAAAGCACTTTTACACTTACATTTGCTATTGAAATTCTAAGAATGGATGTTTGGCATGACTGTAATGAAGGGTGGTTAGATCTCGGGCCATATCATCAAGCTATAAAAATACAGTACCAACTGTATCCTGGACAAAATTATGATTTAGACATTCTTATATGGCCTCATGTTGTAAAGGTAAGTTAAATATATATGTACCTATAAACTTAAATTCTTTCACCGACTGACTGACGACTACTGCATAAATCACTAAATTAAAAACCCAGAAGAAAAAAATATTGCGCAAAAGTTCCTTAAATAAGAAATATAAGCACTAACGAAGAAATTTTGGAAATAAAAAAGTTCAACAAGAAACCAAAGCTTATGTTTATATTGCTATGATAAGTCGTATATGGTTCTATCTTATTGTAAAATGAATCAAAATCCACTTTACCGACAAGACAGAAGTACAAGTACCCTACATATTTCTCCGTGTGTCCTCTACGCGCACATTTCATTTTTATTATTTTGAATTCTATTATTTTTTTCGTTAAAAGCTCTACCTACTTAAACAAGCTCATTTTTATTTTAATAAGTAACTAGCTGACGCCACAGATCTCCTTTCTCAATTTCAATTTTATTTATAATCTTTGATGTCATAATAAAATTGTACACAAAAAACACTTCTAGTTTCTACTGAATTTCCCAATTTTCCAATCAACTTCTCAAATTTCTTAAAAACCCTACGCCGACTATTACAAACTTAAAGATAAGTGATGCTCTTACAAACGAGCAGCATTTTATTTTTAGGGCTCTGTAGCCAAATGGCTAAAACGGAACCCTTATAATTTCGCCATGCTCGTCTCCGTATACGACAGCCATTTTATTAAAAAACTATTAGAACTACGTTGTTGAAGGTAGGTGTTTCATGTAAATTGCTAGACAATTCTGTAGTCAAATTATAAAAAATAAAAAATAGGGGTAGCACTTCATATATGTTATGAGTGGGCAACTTTTTTAAGTCTACATAAGCGTTTGGGGTATCTCTGGACAGCTCTTTAAAGTTCAGAGAGATATTTCTTAGTCTTTTATCTATTAACGCCAGTAGTGGCAGAGTTATATGCGTCCAAAGTCGCAAACATTGGATCCCGCCCCCTCTAACCTAAGTATGGGTCCAAAAATTCTGAAAATACTTTCAACTTGATATTTTGAAGAAAATACCATGAGTAGTTTTTGAGGTGTGGGATATTTTCCATTTCACGTGTTCGGAAGTAAAGTTAACTTTGTTTTTCAATTTAATATTTCGTAGACAGGTAAATATTTTATTTTACTTTTGACTAACAAATTAGTATGAAAACAAAACATAAATTTGACGTGGCGTAGTAAATTGAAAACACGGCACTCCTAAAAGTAACAAAACAAACAAATTCATCTGGATTCAATTTTACATTTCATGCTCAATGTCGGCCGGTCAGACTCGCACTTGTCCGATTTTATTATTATGTAGATCAGTATGAATTTCTCTTAACAGTAACACTAATCACATTATATAGATTTGGTGTGGAAGTCAATTCGGTTATGTACGGACGTGGCAATTTTTAGAGCGACGCTGGTTTACATTTTCAATCCGTCACGCCTTTGTCGCTCGAGTACTCGACTTAAAAAATCATACAGCAACTGTGACATGTTCTATGGGAGGCGGTAATCTGAGTAATAAGTAATTTCTTTTTCTTTACTAATATAATAGATATTTATTTAATGGCATTTTATTATTTTCATTTCAAATAGTTTTGTGATAAATGGCCTATAAATGCTCTATAAAATGCAAACAGGCCAACATTTACAAATTAAACTGGCGTTCCAGAGATTTCAAACAAAGAAAAAATTCAAACTCTTCAGCTTTATGTGTTAATGTAGATAAACTATGGTTATCCTTTTTTCTAATTCTATTCTATTATTTTAATCATAAGGTAAAATCCTACTGGTAGATCAAATAAATAAAAATATAACATTACAGCGCCAAAAATGACAAGAATGTGGAGGCTTATCTTCCACCTTTGAAATTTGGTGAACGCCGATATTTTGGGTCAGTTTTAGAAAAAGAAGAGACCTTTGAGGAATTTATTCAGAATTCATTATATAAACTCATTGAGATTCATATTCCCGCTTCATATTTGGATGGAGCTTTCGATACACCTAGCAATGTTACGGGTTAGTTATTTTGTTTAAAAATTCATAATTAACCCAAAAATCAATAGATTTTTTATGATTAACTATTATTTAGATGTAAGACATCAAGATGCGATTTTGTATAACGTTCAAGAAGAAATTCTAAAAAAAGATGATATTTTTGAAAGAGAATCGCTAACTAAATCAGAAGAAATGATAAAACCAAAAGAGAGAAGAGAATCGAAATTAGTTAAAGAAAAAGAAAAGAAAAAACCGACAGAAGTACAAAAGGAAAAATATGGTATTTATTTGTCAGGGAACGCTATTTTAGCGGGTAAATTTTACAATTATTTTATTTTCTGGGATATATAGTATTTTATTTTATAATATATAAATATATTCTTTTGATTTTTTCGTTAAATAACTATTATTATGATTGTTATTTTTAATGATGCTAAAACAATTAATGATTTTTATTATTAAAGAATCCAAAAAATATCATATTATATATTTCCATTTTTGCTTATAAAGCATATATTATTATATAATAATTAAATTAAAATACTTATTTATAGTTGAACTATTTTTGTCATATATTTTAAATTATACCTGTAGGTGCTTTAATTATAATATGATCTGTGCCTATAGGCAGTGGTCGGATTTCTATGTTTAACTCAATTGGTGATCGTCCGCCAGACCAAAGTAATACCATAGTGTTAATCAGTAGTAAAAACCTACCTTCATACGACGATTTGCCTATAATATTTGTGAACATCGAAAAAATATATGATTTACCAATGGAGGAATTCAAAAAAGCAAGGTGACTTCAACCAAAACATATTTACTCATTATTTAAATTTCCGTAAATGTTTATGATTTATATTTTAAACTTAAACTCAAATACGTTATAAAGGCAGATATAATACATACAAACATCTAGGTATATGTTTATATAATCATCATGAACGAATTAGCGAATTAGTGGCTAATTCGTTCATGATAATCATTTAAAGCAATTCCTTTATACAATAAGTACTCGTATATTACTTTATACAGGATATCGCAAATATATACCCGTTGGATAATAGGTGACGAAGAACACGATTCACAAAAGCAAGACATAAAATCCCCAAAACCTATAAACTTTAATGACTACCATACGGTCCCATTACAGCTCTCCAAAGCTTTTGAGATTACTACTGCATTTTTAGATGACCCATTTGAAATACAGGTTAAGTATTATTTAAAATATGTTTGTTTCTTTTACAATATTATTTTTACTTTTATTCCAAAATTATTTGAATTCAATTCTTGTACCTATATCTATACAAATAATTGTAACTACGCCGAATCTGTACATTAGATATTTTTTTGTAAATCTTATTGAAATGAACATTATTACTGATACACATCTATAGTTTTTAGAATTTTTGTCTGTCTGTCTGTTACCGCATCACAGAAAAACCACTGAAGGGATTTTGATGAAATTTGGTATGGTGATAGCTAATCCGGGTCAACATATAGGATACTTTTACCGCGGGAAAATATCTCTTTTCTGAGAAAAAATACAAAAACTGCAGTGTAAGAGTATACTAATATGTAAAACCTAAGACTTTGGTTTTTCGTCATCTGAACGGGGGCGGAGCCGCGGGCAATGGTAATGTTTATATAAAAATATTCTATGTACTACAATGCCTGTAACTTTATAAACAGAATTTATTTCAGCTTCGCGGCGTGCGACAGCCTAACCTAATATATAGCAATCCTATTTTTTTCGGGCAAGAGAAAAATGATCACTTTAATCCTATATCCTCTAACATTAGCAAGGATAACCAAGATGTTCTTATAGCTATAACAAAAATAGATTTAAGTTGTTTGGCGAAAGGCAACAACGAGCTTATAAGAGGGGAGTTTCCTTTGTTTCCACCCAAAGTTTCAGTGGCATACGGTTCTAGAAAAAGTTGCTGTACTAATCATATGAATGCCATAGGACTAGAAGTAAAACCAGATGTTGGTATTCAGTCTTCTGCCGTTTTGCAAGCACAAATGACTATAGAAACTACTATAGGTCTAGTAGGATGCAAAGCAAAAAGTTTTGCTCAAGGATTTTCAAGATTATACTGCCAAACTTGCAATTCACAAGCTGTAAATGCGATCTTAATGGAAATAAATAGAATTAATGAACACAGTATGAGTTCAAAGGATTTAAACTCTGTTTTAACAGGCTTTGTTCTAGATACCAGGAATGAAATTGTATTTTATATTGAGGGACCAAAAAATGGTGAAATTTTAAAAATATGGGAAATTATCAAGGCTTTTTATACTAAAGTACTAGTACACTTTTCATGTTCAGAACAACATCTGGACCGCATTTATCCTAGTATGATCTTAGATTTTTAACATTTTAATTATCATAAAAAAATATTAATTTACATATATGACTACTCGTATTATTTACAGAATCATTATCAACTAACATATCCTTTAATATGTTGAGAACCTACACAACCGTTAATAGCCTGCTTGGATGTCCACAAGCTTACGTTAAGCCAACATTACCGATACCAGCCAGAACTGTAAGATTAATATTTTTGTGTATAATAGAAATATTAATCATTTTATAGTAATAGACTTAAAAATCTAACAAAAACGATATTTTAAATAAATAAATCATCTCTCCCGTGACCATGATTGCTGTAAAGCATTCGAAATCGGGAAACAAAAATGCAAATAAATCCGCGACAAAATCCGAAAAGATAGTTTTATTTAAAATGTCAAATATTCGCGTAAATCTAAGAAAGTATTATGAAAATCGATATTATTAAAAAATAAAAAAATACAGACTAATTAAAATATAGATAAAAATTAAAGCTGTATTATTAAAAAAATAGCAATATTATTAAATATATATAAAGCTCAAGTCCGGTCGTGTGTGGAATACTGTAGCCACATATGGTGCTGCGAAATGTCATCTGTCAGCCTTGGACTCGATTGAGAGGCGTGCTCACAGGCTTATTGGTGACCCTACGCTGGTAAAAGCTAACTTACAAAGCCTCGATCACCGACGTAGGGTCGCCGGCCTTTGTGTATTCTATAGGTTGCATTTCGAAGAGTGTGCGCAGGAACTACACGAATTAATCCCCCATCCCCTTTCCATCATCGGACAACCCGACGAACGGCTGGTCTCCATCCTTATGTCGTGGACATTCCACCCGTCCGGACGAAGCGTTTCGCTACGTCATTTATTATACGTGCGGCTAAGGATTGGAATAACCTGCCTGCGTCAGTGTTTCCGCCTGATTACAATATGGGAGTCATCAAGGCAAGAGTGAATAGGTGGTTACTGAATTATTGCGACTTACCATCAACGACTGCGTTACCACTTACTATCAGGTGGAATGTAGTCAAGCACTAATTCAGATTGGAATAAAAAAAAATGGTATGTTACGCCTCCATGGTTAGTTTCCGGGAAATCAATTGTTAACTGCCATGCTGGCATGTTCGCGACCTTTGAAGCGCTAACAATACTGCTTAATATCTCAGCGTAGAGTAATTAGAGATTATTTGTTGGCAGGCCTTATTAAAAATTGGCCGACTGATTGCGAGCAAGTTCAAAGTTGCCCCTTGTAAAAGTGAAATGCCGACCAATGAAGAACTGGAAAGTTTTAAGCTCGAGCTATGCGTACCCTCTGTTTTTTAATTCTGACGTGCATGGTAATGGAAAATTAGATATTATTCTTCATATTTTTCTTTCACCTAATTGTATAAGTGTTGCACTAGATGAATATCGCAGCTTTAATTGCAATTTTAGATGTTTTAGAATTTTCCAAATAGTGCACCACTTTTAGCCTTTTTTTCTAATAATTCATTCTTAGTGACGCACAATTTTAAAGTTTTTACCCACGAAAAAACATGTTTAATAATATAATCTAATACTAGGTCAGTAGAATAAATTATTATTTCAAAAATATTATATTGTTTTCCATCCAAGCTTTTTAATTAGCAAAGTTATTATTATGGAATAAGGCTGTTTAAATTTCAGCTCTTTATTAAGAGATTATTAAGATGTTGTTGTTAAGAACGTAGTAACTTTCATATTATCTTGATACAGCGCTGGATTTACACTAGGGCTCCATGGCACTCGGGGCTATTGACCAGGGCGGTAATTTTTTTAGGGGTGGCAAAATTAAAAAAAACCTTCGCGTTATCGTAAATGTTTTTTTTTATTTACCAAAAAATGAATAATTAAAAATAATTATCAATTTTTTTTCAATTATCAAACATTAAAAAATAACATACAGTCGAATTGAGAACCTCCTCCTTTTTGAAGTCGGTTGAAAAAAATGAACTTTATCGAAACTTATCCATTTTATGCAAAATTTCGATCAAACGAAGGTTGAATCCGGCACTGTCTTGATAGCTTAATTAATTAAATTGAGTCGTTTAATTTACACCTATTTATTTCAGGAAAGAGAACATCACCTTAAAAAGACAATCAAATAAAGAAGTCGTGTTTAATACAATAAATAATGGTTAAATATGTATTATTTTCAAAATTATTATTTATTTTGCATTTTCTTTAAATGAACAAAAGTTATTTATTGGCTAAATATTTAAAAAGAGTATAGAAAATTCGTTTAATAATAAAAATTGTCGTTAAAAATGAATATTTAAGTTTATTATATTTGTAGGCATGTGTTTAACATAAAAAAAACACGCGATGAAATAAGTGTATGAAATTGAAGCTTGTTAACCAAATATTTTTTGAAAATTAAATTATCACATACGCTGTAATCAAAGTTCAATGTATATGACAAGGTGTTTTTGAAACTTTATATATTACTCACTCTCGCTCCGCTCGGGTTCGTCCCTGGTGAAACTTTTGGTTTGTACGTATTTTTTAATGCCGAAGCATTAAAAAATAAAATAAAACATTTTTTGGGGTGGATCAGCCTTATGTCTATACTAGTGACTTAGGGGTATGAAAAATAATTTACGTCCTATTCTCAGTTATACTGAGTATACGCACAAAATTGAATGGGTCAAGCCGTTTCGGAGGAATTTTGTTACAAACACTGTGACACTCGAATTTCATATATTAGATAAAAGTATGAATTATTGATATTTCACAAAAAATTAAACATTAATAAATGTTTTACTACATAAAAACTTTTTAACAAAAAAATAAAAACCGACTTCAAACAAAAGCACTAAAAAGTAAAAAATAACTGATTGGTAGTTTTCATTTACTATACAAACCTAATCAAATATTTTCGAAGTCGGTGTGCTTTGCTTTGTATGGGCTGGCACCGATTTCGAAAATATTTGATTAGGTATGTATTTAATAGGTAGGCTTTAATTACTTAGCCAAAGCACACCGACTTCGAAAATATTTGATTAGGTATGTATAGTAAATGAAAACTACCAATCAGTTATTTTTTACTTTTTAGTGCTTTTGTTTGAAGTCGGTTTTTATTTTTTTGTTAAAAAGTTTTTATTTTTCCCATTTTAGTGTGGACAGTAGTAGCAAAGTAAGGATTCTAACGTGTCAGGCTTGTCAAATCAAACAAAATAAGCCCAAACTCAAAGTATCTACTATTAGCCGTTGAAGAGTTCCACCTCTCCACCTTCTGGCCTTGCCATCAGATCAGGTCAACAACACCGAACCACTGTACTATCAACGGACATAGAAATACTTGTAAAGTTTCAAGTCAATATGACAATTAGAAGTAGGTTAAATTCATCATTAGTTGTTTTTCCACCCTTAGGGGTGGTATTTTTTTTTGAAATTTAAATGGGACCAATCTGGAAGTATACCCTTTCAAACAAAACAAAAATTGTCCAAATCGGTTAATAAATGACGGAGTTCTGAGGTAACAAACAAAAAAAAAAAAAAAAAAAAAAACATACAGTCGAATTGAGAACCTCCTCCTTTTTGAAGTCGGTTGAAAATGGAGAACATGAAGATGAACACCAAATTTTACACTTTAAAAGTTTTAAAATAGTTCCTTTAAACTGTGATAATGAACTAACAACGGTGCAAGCTTAGTAAGTAAAATTTTAAAAATCCTAACATACTTCACAGCGCTTTCTTCCACTTCAAATATTTACAGTTACTGATTAACTTACCACGCCAAAAGTACACTGTACATGTATATGTAGCTACTAGCTACTTTCTGGAAAGTTACTACGATCTAAAAATTACCTTACAATGTACATATTATCTTAGAAATAATGATACTTTAAAATAGAAGTGACGTAAGTTAAATTTATTATTAATCCTTGTTATGTATATGCTTGTATTTAATTGGATTAAGTAAAAGAAAAGAACTGATATGAATCTAAACATGTATTGCAAACCACCATCTTTTACAAAGTATGTCATAGAGTATAAATCAATTAGGGATGAGACAAAATTATTTGTGACTAGCATTGCCCGCGGCTTCGCCCGCGTTCAGATAACCAAAAACCAAATTCTTAGATTTTACATATTACGTATACTCTTACATTGCAGTTTTTGTATTTTTTTAAAAAATACAAAAATTTTTGAGAAAAAATACAAAGAGAGCGTATTCTTTTCTGAAAGGCCGGCAACGAATCTGCAAGTCCTGCGGTGTTGCAGATGTCCATGGGCGGCGGTGATTACTCTCCATCAGGTGAGCCTCCTGCCCGTTTGCCCCCTTAGTCCCATAAAAAAAAAGAAAAAAAATCCCGCGGTAAAAAGTATCCTAAATGTTGACCTAGATAACCAGCTATATAACCATATCAAATTTCATCAAAATCCCTCCAGTGGTTTTTCTGTGATGCGGTAACAGACAGACAGACAGATAGACAAACAAAAATTCTAAAAACTATAGATTCGGCCTCTGTATCAATAATAATGTTTATTTCAATAAGATTTTCCAAAAAATATTTAATGTACAGATTCGACTTAGTTACAATTTTATTATATGTATAGATGTACTAACAATCCTATAATTGTATGTATGTATGTATGTATGTACTTGTACGAGTACATTGTACATATGTATGTATTCGGACCTTTTTAACGTTCCACTGTTCGAAGTTGAATGCGTAAGCGATCCTGCGACGCCCCATTAAGACGGGGGACCCACACCTCGTGCGTAAATGCATTTCCCAACGTTAAAAAAAAAATGGGGATCAGGCCATAGCCCTATTTTCTTTATCTAAATACATAATCTGATTGTTTTAATTTTATCTATCTATCAATAAAGCTGAAAGTTTATAAATGGCCGACTACGGCGAAGCCAACAGGAGGGTTGTGATTTTAGCAGTCTATATACATACATATATAATATGTATATGTGTATGTTCATCTGTCACGGCATATATTCTAAACTATTTGACGTAACTTAAGAAATGAGGTATTGTTGGAA